TCTTTATTCTTTTTCTTATTATTCTTTTTCTAAAAAACAAACAAAAAAAAAAAGAATAATTCCTTTAGAAAAGAGAGAAAATTGAAAACCTTCAATCAAAACGCAAGTAATAGAATCTGCCATTATGAGACATTATGCTATATGTGTTTATGAATTATTGTGTTTCAGCCTTAGAGAAAACCACCTGTGAGATCCTGAGCTGAAGCAGGTGTTAATGGTTTAAAGGGCTTACTCTAACACTCACAGCTAGTTGGGTCAGGGATCTTTCTACAGCACAAAGCTCCATCCCACAAAAACCTTTTTTTGCCTGAAACACAGCTAAGTATGGTGACAAGTGCTGGACAGCGAAGTGCAAGGCTTCCCTTTCACCACTAAGGAATCACAATCCTCAGCTCCCACCTACCTTAGCTGACCTCCTCCCACTTTCCAAAACCACCGTGGGCATGGGGCTTGTGAATTATAAGGCATAAGAACAGGGCCATTAAAAAAAAAAAGAAACAGTATCTTCACTTGAAATACTTAATATGCTGAAAATATTATATGAAGATTAAGGCAGAATCTTATTCAGAAAATCAACTCACCAGTCCGGACACTCTTTATTTTAACCTACTAATAGTTTATAGAGATGACAGAATACCTTGATATTATCAATTACTTCTAGCTGTGCACTGTTTTCAAATAAAACTAGGATAAGTTAATGGATTTACAAGTTAATGGATTTATAACTTTTTTTTTTTTTTGAGATGGATTCTTGTTCTGTTGCCAGGCAGGCTGAAGTGCAGTGGCAAGATCTCAGCTCACTGCAACCTCCAACTCCCTGGTTCAAGTGATTCTCCTGCCACAGCCTCCCGTGTAGCTGGGACTACAGGCACGAGCCACCATGCCCAGCCAATTTTTATATTTTTAGTAGAGATGGGGTTTCGCCATGTTGGCCAGGATAGTGTTGATCTCCTGACCTTGTGATCTGCCCACCTTGGCCTCCCAAAGGGCTGGGATTCCAGGCGTGAGCCACTGTATCTGGCAATTTATGACTCTTTATAGGTGGAAAGGACTAAAAGAGTTGTACCTTAAAACAGCAACTCTTAAATTTTATATTCTGCAATTGTCAGCTAAGGTTGTATAATTCATCAAATACTTAAAATAATCTGAGAAAATGGATGGGCCCTATAACATTTGTAACTAATAACTTTGTTTAGGTTGTGTGAGGAATCTGTAACAAGATGATTTTGGCTATATGATACCTGTTTTCAATTCTTAAAAACAAACAAAAAACCCAAACATTCTGATTTTCTTGTTTAAAAAGTTGTTTTCATTTTAATGATCTGAGTTAGTAACAAACAAATGTACAAAATTGTCTTTCACATTTCCATACATTGTGTTATGGACCAAATGAAAACGCTGGACTACAAATGCAGGTTTCTTTATAGCCTTAACTTCAATTATTGTCACTTATAAATAAAGGTGATTTGCTAACACATGCATTTGTGAACATAGATGCCAAAACTTGTACATGTAAGTTAATGCACAACCAAGAGTATACACTGTTCATTTGTGCAGTTATGCGTCAAATGCAACTGACACAGGAGCAGTTATCCTGGGATATTTCACTCTATATGAAAAGCATCTTGGAGAAACTGATTGAAATACAGTTTAAAACAAAAATTGTATTCTATAAATAAAATAAAAGTTGCAACTGGCACATCTGAAGCAACATTTGAGAAAGCTGCTTCAATAACCCTGCTGTTATACTGGTTTTATAGGTGTATCTCCAAAGTCATGGGTTGGGATATAGCTGCTTTAAAGAAAATAAATATGTATATTAAAAGGAAAATTACACTTTAAAAATGTGAGGAAAAGGCCAGGTGCGGTGGCTCAAGCCTGTAATCCCAGCACTTTGGGAGGCAGAGGTGGGTGGATCATGAGGTCAAGAGATCGAGACCATCTTGGTCAACAAGGTGAAACCCCATCTCTACTAAAAATACAAAAAATTAGCTGGGCATGGTGGCGCGTGTCTGTAATCCCAGCTACTCAGGACGCTGAGACAGGAGAATTGCCTGAACCCAGGAGGCAGAGGTTGTGGTGAGCCGAGATCGCGCCATTGCACTCCAGCCTGGGTAACAAAAGCGAAACTCCGTCTCAAAAAAAAAAAAAAAAAAAAAAGTGAGGAAAGCTTTGAAAACAATCTTAATCCATGAGTCCATCTATATATTTTCAAGTTTTAGAAACAGAAATTTAGAATTTTCAAAGTAATCTGAAAACTTTATAAGCCATTTTAAAATAAGATTTTGTTCCCCCCATCTTACCAATGTTTCCTATTTGATAGTGTGATACAGAAATGGGCAGTTTCTGGTGTCAACTTACTGTGCTAATTGATCAATCATTATACATTCATGACCTCAGCAGCCACTCATCTGAACTAGTAATAAACACCAACACAAACTGATTTTTTATATTAAATTATTTTTAGATATCTAAAGGTAGGAAAATCCAATCTTTCTTAAAAATACTTTCCTGGGTTGTGGCAACATGTGCTTTACCTCTTCAACTCTACCTAAAACCTAAAATTATTTCTCTATTATAAATTTCAAACTCCCTGGCAAGGAATGTAAATGCTAACCAGCTAGGTATTTATAGTCATGCGCTGCAGAACAACCTTTTAGTCAAAGACCACATATTTGACAGTGGTCCCGTAAGATTATAATACCATATTCTTACTGTCCCTTTTCTATGTCTAAATACACAGATACCATTGTGTTACAACTGCCTACAGCAGGCGTCCCCAAACTATTGCGGCCCCCTGAGGCCATTTATCCGGCCCCCAGCCGCACTTCAGGAAGGGGCACCTCTTTCATTGGTGGTCAGTGAGAGGAGCACAGTATGTAGCGGCCCTCCAATGGTCTGAGGGACAGTGAACTAGGCCCCTGTGTAAACAGTTTGGGGATGCCTGGCCTACAGTATTCAGTATAGTAACATGCTGTACAGGTTTACTATATAGCCTGGGTCTTGTAGGCTATGCCATCTAGGTTTGTGCACTATGATGTTTGCACAACGGAATTGCCTAACAATGCATTTCTCAGAATGTATCCTCGTTGTTAAGCAATGCATGACTGTATTAAATTCATACAAAGTGATCACTCATGAATGGTTGTCATAATAACATTTCCATTTTTCTCTAAGGCCTGAGGTTGATGTCTTTGCCTATGCTCTATGGATCAAATGAGAGAACATGATGCAGCTAAAAAATAGGGTTTCTTTGAGGCATTATCAATAGACCTAGCCTCCCATATTATAAAAACCTTCATTGTACTAAAATGAATACAACTGTAAGCAGTTTGAGGGCAACTGCAGTGCAAAAGGAAATGGGTTATTTTCTATGGGAAACATAAGATTAACCTTAAAGAGATATCTTTGTTTGCCATGAGGCATATCATGAAGAAAATGTGGCTAGTGAATTCAAACATTCACTCCAAGAGCTACCTAAATGTAAGGTGGCTTTTAAAAATACTTAAATTATCAATGACTCAGGAACGTAAGCTGGAAGAGTAATATAAAGATATATATTTACAATGCTACATTAGGAGATGTAGTTCCCTACTCTGCACTTTGGAAATGAAAGACATCAGTTCTATCCAGAGTCAATACTATCAGAAAGAAATACAACTGCTTCCTACTCTTTTTCACTTGGAAAATTCATTTTATGATGTTCCCACCGTTGACACTCTGCGTCTCTCATATGAGTTAGGCAAAATGAATCTAATAGGTTACTTTTTTTTCAAAATAAACCACCCAAACAGGTTTTTTAAAACTTTCAAAAATAGAACATTTAACCCTTGAGAGAAACTTCCATTACTGAGTACCTAGTCTAATGGCAAGTACAGTATTAAGGATTATTGCTTTTAGTAAGATAACCATCAGAAATAAATATGTAAGCTTAACTCAAATCCTCATTTTTCACCCAACGCTACAATGTGTATTCTCAAATCAAGTCACATTATTTTCAATTCTTTGCCAGTTTACTGAGGTTTTAAGTATAAAAAGTTGGCCTGTTAATTCAAAATCAAGACAATAGCAATAGCCATGTGTCTTATTTGGGCATTGAGCAGTAACACTGCTTTCTTGATAGGATTTAAGGCACTAAATGGTGGTAAAATAAACAAAAGGACGATGATTAACTTCTTTAGAATCCTAAAAAAGGAGATAGTTTAGAATGACACTAGTAAATCTTTTTCTCAAACAAATAAGGCATCCTGTTGGCAAACGCAAATAAAACATAAGGTCATGTTGAACCTAATACATTCACTGTCTCAGCTAAACTACTTGAAATGCTACCTATCAAACCTAAGAAAGCTACAATAGTGTGTATAAAGGTTGGAAAGGCACCAAAAAGAGAGCTGTACAACTTCCAGTTTTAAGAGTTAAGGAAGCTGTGTTTAACACTGCAAACAGTCTAATTATCAGTTTTATTCTTCAAAATGTAAATGTAGTTAGATTTTTACCTTGACAAGTTAATCAAGTGCTAGTTTAGTAAGAAGTTTATTTTATGAATTAGAAAATTACTGCAGTGTTAAACGCAGCACTATTTATAAAGCTAAACTAATTCTAGCACTGAATGCATATTCTGGATAACACTGAAGCAAATCTGTATGAACAAAAATGGTTACCTCAAGATAGAATTCACAATAGAAATTCAACATATAACTAAATAAGATTTACTGAAAGTAACAAAAGGTGTTGTAGAGATATATCCAACATAATTATAACCACAACATTTTCCTTGTGAAAAATACAACTATTAGTGAAATAAAATGTACAATTGAAAATTTCCAAAGGAAAAAAACACAGTATAAATGAAAATACTTTTCTTTGTAATAGGGAAAATAGTATGTCATTGTTTTTTTTATCACAATATAATTTGACACAAAAAGCAGTCAGAGAATTGCACCAATTCCACATCCAGTTTCCTGAACATGTTAAGAGTAAAAGAAGTCTGTAAAGCAGAATAGTTTCCAAATTTTATATTTTAAATTGATGATATTCTTATACAGGATGTCACATCACAGCAGACCTGTTTACATAATGTACAATATTTCTGGTTTTGTGGCCAGATGTGAGTACAGATATATGCTTTCTGCCACTTCTCTGTCATTCTGGTATTTAGCCAGAGTCAGAACAAAAAATAATACTCGTTACTTTAAGTGTTATTTCTTTAGCAATAAAGAAAAATTATACTTAGTGCATGCTTCATCATTTGTCAAAAAATGTTTCTGAAAATAAAACTCAAGTTACCCAATGGTTTACAAAATAGAAAAATCATTCATTAGGTAAAAATGTGGTGGGACTTAGGTCCATTTCCAGACGACTGACTTCCTTCCTAAAGGCAGCACCACTGTCCTTCAGCAGAGGTGGCGATGACAGTTCCATGATGGAAGTGGCCGGCCTGCAGAAGACCACTACTTGATAGCTGATTATCTTTGACCACCCCGTATCTGCCATTTCATTAGTGCTATAAAAAAGATGGGACTTTTGTGGAAAAGTTAGGAACACTTCTGCTGTACATGATTTAGAAGTTCTCCAAATTTTTCAAAGAGGTCCTCTACCCATTTTACATTTTTCATACAAAGTTGAACAATTTCCTCCTGTCCTAAATCTTCATTTTTTTTCTGCACCGAAGAAATCTAAAAAAAAGAAAATTGCCACATTAGCTTGTACTTATCACTTCATACTTAAGTTCACCTGCAGTACTGATACTTTATTTTTTCTTAATCCCATCCATGGAGAATGATTATTTCACATAAATTTGGGTGAGATCTAATCCTTTCATCTTTGGCTTCAAGGGGGCAGAAAGGAAGGCTAGAAAAAGTACCTTGAACTTTCTCTATTTCTTCCAATTATGTTAGAAGCCAAATGACAAATTTTGGAGCTGGTTCTGCATTTTAGAGCATTGCAAATTAGTCAACCTATTTTGCATCACCATCTTTGCTTTCTCCTTTGCTATATAAACGTTAGATTTATGAGCATCTTTCCATACCAGAGTACTGTCAAACACATTAGATAAAGCCTTGGGCCAACTTAACCCTTTTTAATTAAAAGAAGGACAGTGCTGGTCAAATAAGGTAGTATTGTCTACAACCCTTTAACCTGTCTGTGGAAATTAATGTTTATATCCCATCCATGAGGTGATATTTTGTCATGTATAATTTCTGAACAATGTAAAAGCTATAATTAAATTTTAACTTTTAGTTTTTCATGCCAAGGCATAAAACCCCATTTCTCTGCAACTAAGTGGGATAAGGCCATTCTAAATAATAAGTAAGGCAGCGAGATATCAAAGCAATGACTGAAGTGAATTAAAGCAACATCATTATACACTGTGAGAGAACAAAATGCAATAACACATCATTTATTATGGCGATGTAAAGCAAGCACCAGCAGCTTCAAAACATTACCAACTATAGCTCCTATTAAGAGGTGGTGAGTCTCAGGTAAATCTGAGCACAAAACATAGCAGAGAGATTCAGAACTACAGATCATCAAGTCACTATTTACAGAATACATAGGCAAAATATATACACACATGTATTTCAAAATTCTCTTTAAAACATTCAAAAATACTATAGGTAGAATCTCCTTAATATTCTGAAAAACATACATTTCATTTTTAAATAAATGAGAAGAAATTACCTCATCCTTACATATCAGATAAACATGATATTTATAATGATGGAGTGAATGATATAAAGAATACAACTGTATTTTCTCTGGATCGACAGCAAACTCCTATAAAAAGAAAAAAGTTTATAGATAGATTTCATGGAGTATCTGAGTAAGAACACTTTGAGGAAAATAAAGTCTCAATGGCAATGTTAAAAATGACTTATATGGGTAGGTATTAACTTGTGTTAATATGGTGAGACTTATTCAAAATACGAACTTAAATTATATTTAAAAATCTTATTTATCCTGAATATAAATATATATTATTGAAACTTAAGCATTAAAGGAAAATTTAAACAATAAACATATGAGATGATTTATAAAATAAAAGCTCCTTACAATCTGCTTCAGAGCTAAACAAGGTTAATAGCATGTTAGGTATTTTTTAATGTTTGCCCCCTAGGTATATCATGTACGTTAATGACACTACTTTTGCAATGAGAAGGGAATCATACTATACATATTGTACAGCAACTTTTCTTCTTTCTTCCAACTTGTTTTTTGACCTAACTAAAAATTGGCTATTTTTTCATTTAGTACATATAGCTGTCTCTCCCCAACCTCCCCAAATATAAACTATATGAGGGTAGGGACTTTTAACCAGTTTTCACTGTTGTATCTCTAGTACTTATAGCTGTATTTGGCATACTGTTGGCACTCAAATTTTTTTTTTCAAAGAATGAACAAATCTATCTCTTTATAAAAAGCACATAGAATGACATTAGGTGGCTCTTTATTTAACCAACCTCACACTGGTGGCTATTTAACAAACAGCAATAATTGGACTGCTCTTATAAACAATTCTACAATGAGCGAAGGCATGTATTTTTATGCATTTGTGAATCTGTTTCTATGGAATATATATATATACATATATTTTTAGGCAGTGTCTCATTCTGTCATCTGGACTGGACTGCAGGGGTGCAATTTTTTTTTTTTTTCGTGACAGTATCTCATTCTGTCACCCAGGCTGGAGTGCAGGGGTGCAATCATGGCTCACTGCAGTCTCAACTTCCTTGGCTCAAGCGATCTTTCCCGCTCAGCTTCACAAGTAGCTAGGACTACAGGTACACGGCAACATGCCTGGCTAATTTTTTTTTCTCCCTCCAGGGTAGACATGGGGCCTTGCTTTGTTGCCAAGGCTGGTCTTGAACACCTGGGCTCAAGTGATCCTCCAGTCTCAGCCTCCCAAAGTGCTGGGAGCCACTGTGCTCAGCTCTGAATACATTTTTGCTGTGAAGTTGGTATGCTGACAAACTGTTTTCTGAAAACATTATAACAATTTATACTGTTTGAAGATGAGCAAATTCCAATTTTAATGACTTTGCAGATATGAAATAAACATTTCATCTTTTTACAAAATGTGTTGTGCACACTCACTTATCTCTGTGCCTGCATATCCAATTACAAATATACTTGTATTACAGGTATTAGATATGTTAATGGGTTCGAATTAACCATTTCACAATGTATCCACATTTCAAAACATTTTGTACATAATAAATATATACAATTTAAAAAATAAAAAAACTACATGAGATCCAATGGGTTAAAAAAATTTAAAATACCTACAAATATATAAACACAAGCATGAGATGATTTCTTCCATATTAGTTAATTTAATAAATTTGTGAGCACATATTATATGCCTGATGCTATGCTACAGAAAAAAATAAGTAACACTGCATCCCTGTTCCTCAGGCCAGAGCTGCTTATTCTTACCTGAAAAACCTTCACACTTAATGACAACATAGTAAAACATTTGCTTGTTTCAATGTTTTACGTTGCAAATTGTATTCACAATTGGAAAAGGTAGTTACATTAATAATCAATTACACTTACTTGTGCAGATTTAGTGGTTGTTTTAGAAGTCCTTAGAGTTTTCTTATTATAAGCTTTGCCATTCATTTTGATTTTAGAAATAGAAGTTCCTCCACTCTTTGCTTTAGAATCTCGAGTAATTATTGTTAGTTCAGGAAAACTTTCCAAAGCATTCTGTAAAACAATGAAGCAAAATAACTGACACCAAAAGAAAACTAACCTAAACTACTTCCAGCTATCTAAAATTTAGACGTGTGTGTGTGGACAAACCTCTGTTTGCAGAGGGGTGTGTGTATACTGATGGGATGTGGTAAATATTTATATACACATATACATACATATACATACACAGGGGAGTTAAATATGGTCACAAGTTGTTTGCAGCTCTTCCTATTGGATATGGAATATATTTCCCCATTCCTTGAATGTGACCCAACTCTATGACCTGCTTATTTAAGCTATAGCACACCACACCACACTAAGAACCCTGAACAGGGCAGAGTTCTTTTTAGTAATGTGTCTCTGGCTTCAAGGAAGGACAAAGAGAGACCTGTATGTTTCACCAAAGCCCTACCACTGAAACCACTGCTTGCCCCCTGAAATGTGGCTGGGCCTTGCTGTAAAGAAATCATCTGCCTCTGGTGAAAATGAGGACAGAAGAGAAGTGGCACTGTAGTGCTTCTCTGGCTTCACTATTTCTCTTGCTTATTTTGACTGCCTGACAAGTACCTGCAAGATAAGATCCTAAAACAGAGCATGATGGGTTTCTGATAGTGGTCCTGTGGCAAAACCAATTCCACTCCATCCTTTAAAAGTCATTGGTGGCCAGGCATAGTGGCTCATACCTATAATCCCAGCACTCTGGGAGGCCAAGGTGGGTAAATTGCTTGATGCCAGGAGTTCAAGATTAGCCTGGCCAACATGGTGAAACCTCATCTCTACTAAAAATACAAAAATTAGATGGGTGTGGTGGTACATACCTGTAATCCCAACTACTCAGGAGGCTGAGGTAAGAAAATTGCTTGAACCCAGGAGGCAGAGGTTGCAACGAGCCAATATCATACCACTGCACTCCAGCCTGGGTGACAGAGTAAGACTCTGTCTCAAAAAAAATAAAAACAAAAAAATAAAAGCCATTGGCATATCTATGGCCTTACCTACTTGGCAAATCATCCTGCCTGACTGAAAAGCTACAAACAATAACTGAATGATACTTGTAGCTACATTTAACTAGTTTGATTATGACTTTATAAATTTTTTTTTTTTTTTTTGAGACGGAGTTTCGCTCTTGTTACCCAGGCTGGAGTGCAATGGGGCGATCTCGGCTCACCGCAACCTCTGCCTCCTGGGTTCAGGCAATTCTCCTGACTCAGCCTCCTGAGTAGCTGGGATTACAGGCACGCACCATCATGCCCAGCTAATTTTTTGTATTTTTAGTAGAGACGGGGTTTCACCATGTTGACCAGGATGGTCTCGATCTCTTGACCTTGTGATACACCCGCCTCGGCCTCCCAAAGTGCTGGGATTACAGGCTTGAGCCACCGCGCCCGGCCGACTTTATAAAAATTAAATTGAGCTCCTAATCATTTATTTTGACACTAAAAATGTTGAAGTCCTCCAATTATATTTATGATTCAGAATGCAGTCCTCGTTCGATAAGCTCAACTGTTTTATAAACAGTTACAACCTTTAAAGCCACTCTTCTCCAAACTCTTCTATTGTTTCCGAGTACCTGGTATTGGGGCCCTGAAAATGGTACCTTTTTTAAAAATAGGCAACCAAAATTTTTCTTGGTATAAGTGTAGGAGGGAACTAAATTTCATTTGATAGAAACAATAACACTTTTGGCATTTTCTACCAGAGGGAGCTAACATCACATTCTAGCTTCATTCCTTTCTCAGATTATTTGTGCTCTTATCATATACTCTGGTGTTTTCAATTTAAAACATGCACAGACTTGACAGTTTTTGGATCCAGAATTACTATTTGCAACAAATAGAAGTAAGACTAAAGATTCTAAATTTGGAAACAACACACATTAAGTCAGTGGAGATGAAAGAAGAAAATCAAAATCTTTCCAACTACCACAGATGCCTAAAATAATCTGAAGTACACTGATTTCAGAAAAAGGTAGAACACATCATTACCTTGAAAAGGCTTCAGGACTCCTCACATCACCAAGATAAAGCACACTAATTATTTATAAAGAACAGAAAATCTTTCTTAATCTAGTATTTGTAATGTTTTACTTCAAATCATTCTAACTTTTAATATTATATAATCTGACTTTAAAATGCAAATTGCTAAGGCTGGGCATGGTGGTTCACACCTGTAATCCCAGCACTTTGGGAAGCAGAGGAAGGCAGATCACTTGAAGTCAGGAGTTCAAGACCAGCCTGGCCAACATGGTGAAACCCCATCTCTATTAAATTATAAAAAATTAGCCAGGTGTGGTGGCCGGCACCTGTAATCCTAGCCACTCCGGAGACTGTGGTAGGAGAGGCAGAGGTTGCAGTGGGCAGAGATCGTGCCCCAGCACTCCAGCCTGGGAGACAGAGTGAGACTCTGTCTCAAAAAAAAAAAAGAAAAAGAAAAAAAAAGCAAATTGCTTTATGTGACAATTATCAGAATTAATAACTAATAACAGAATTAGGAATCTTGTTAGAGAACTGGTTTGACATTTCTATAGTGACTAGCCAAACCTAGTAATTTTTAAGATTTAGTAAACCTTTAGAAAATACCTATCTAAAAGTGTTCCTTTGTCTCCACAAAATATGGTATTCCATTTATTTGAAGGCAGCAGTTAAGTAGAAAACACTGGACTAGGGCCAGGCGCCGTGGTTCACACCTGTAAATCCCTGCATTTTGGAAGGCAGAAGCAGGTAGATCACTTGAAGTCAGGAGTTCGAGACCAGCCTGACCAACATGGTAAAACCCCGTCTCTACTGAATATGCAAAAATTAGCTGGATGTGGGTGATGCACGCTTGTGGTCCCAGCTACTTGGGAGGCTGAGGCAGGAGAAACTCTTGAATTTAGGAGGTGGAGATTGCAGTAAGCCAAGATCGCGCCACTGCACTTCAGCCTTGGGGACAGAACAATACTCCATCTCAAAAACAAAAACTGGACTAAAAGTCAGGAGACCACATTCTTAGTACTGGATTTTTTACTAGCTTCTAATTTTTTTTATCCTCCTGCAAGTACATGGCAGTGAAGAATAGATGACTAGTACGATAGCTTAGTGTCATTTAATTTTGAACTCAATCTAATGGTCTCCATTTTCACCTAATTGAAGTCAATATTTACTTTTACATGGAGTTCACATAAAATAGGGATGTGAAAAAGTTAAACAAATGTATAATATTTTTACCATCAATTAAAAAATGTTCCCCAAGGTAGATATAATCAAATGGTTCTCAATGTGATATTCTACTTTGAATAAAGCTAGGGAGTAATCACTCTGTGATTCTCTACCATGTGCATGTTAATAAATTTGCGTGCTTTTTCTCCAACTGAAAAAAAAAAAGCTCAGTTGGGCACGGTGGCTCATGCCTGTAATCTCAACACTTTGGGAGGCTGAGGTGGATGGATTATCTGAGGTCAGGAGTTCAAGACCAGACTAGCCAGCATGGTGAAATCCCGTCTCTACTAAAAATACAAAAATTAGCCAGGCGTGGTGACGGACACCTGTAGTCCCAGCTACTTAGGAGGCTGAGGTGTAGAATCGCTTGAACTCGGGAGGCAAAGGATGCAGCGAGCCAAGGTCGTGCCACTGCACTGCAGCCTGGGTAACAGAGTGAGACTCCATCTCAAAAAAAAGAGGCTAGAACATTTTTAAACTTTAAGTAGCTTCTATGATAATTATCTAAGTTTAGATTAGCTTTTTTCTATATTTCTGATAACACCAAAACCAGTTTATATTGACAAGATATATATTAACAGAATTACACATATTTCCTACCCTCATTGTAGCGAGAAATTAGAGATCTGGAGAAACCGATAGGGGTTGCAGGAGGATTTTATTTAATGTGATTACCGCCTTAGCAGAATTGCTTTTTAATTTTGAGCAAAGGACAAAGAAAATGGGGTGCCCTTTTACGCATCTAGGTGGTACTGGATGACAAAGCGAGGCAGGTTTTACAGAAGCCAGAACAAAGAACAGTTAATTAACTTGTGACTTGTTTTGTGATTCACTTTACATTTGAAAAGCAGCATTTTGAGAAACACATTTTGCAGTTTTGAGCCTCTTTGCTTTGTTACCTTGCAGCTGGTGTTCAAGAAACACAGGAACTTTTAGATGCCTGAGAACTTTGCTAAGACTGTGGGGTGAATAAGTTTAAATGGTTTACAGGGAGGCAGTTAATATTCTGCCTTAGACAGAGCTGGGGAGGTATTACATTAAACAGCACACAACACAGCAAAATTTACTTTATTTTATAGCAACTACAAATTGTAAGCTTTTGTTTTACTATTATGGCCATTATTTAATTCCCTCCTTCATTATAAAAATCACTGTTTCCTCTGATACTGAATAAACGAAGTAAGGGGGATTTTGATAACTGTGCTAAGGAAAAGCTAATTTTAATTACAGATGAAACATGAAAATTTTGAAAAGTGTTACAAGAAAAACAAGATTAAAATACAGTAGTTTAAAGGAAATACTTTCAGAGAACATTTGGAAATTATTTTGTAGATGCTATAATAGATAACTGTAAATGCCTAAAAAGTGGATATAAGTGGAGAAAAGCAAATGATTAACACAAAAGACAAACTAAATGGACTTACAATAAATAAAAATCAAATTCTTAGTGAAAAATTTTGTAAGTGAATGATTTTCATAAATTTTCCTTCCTATTATACTTAAGACTATGATTGCCATTGAGTTTTGCTAATAAGTCATCAGAAGGAAATACCTTGAATGATTGATCCAAATGAAGATTCAAAAGAAGTCTCTTTCGGTTATCATTTAGCATGCCATCTATTTTTTTCATATGAGGTAAAAGTAGCTCATCTGAAACAACATCATAATTTAACAGGATAAACTATCAATACTTTTTTAAAAATGAAACTTTTTCTCAAAACATATATCAAAAGACACTAAATTCATTAGCATATGTAAAATATTGATTGCAAAACATTGTACATGAAGCTTTCTGAACAAAGGTTAACTTGAAAAGTAGATTTATAATAGCAAGTGAGAAAGAGGCAGGTCAGTATGGTGATGGCATGAGCACTGTATGAAGATCCAAAGTCCTGGGTTTTAGCTGAACTAGAACTGCTGGATAACCCAGAAGTGGATTTTAACTGAATACAACTGATATGTGGCAGCTATATGACCAATGGGCAAACTGCCTAATTTCTAGAGACCTCATTTACCCTCTGAACAATCTGAACAATCATAGTACAAAATACTAACTGATCTAACAAAACTCGACAAAGTGATATTAAGTCACTTTAATTTGAAGCAAAGAAAAAGCAGGGGAAGAAAAATGATCAAAACTCGGTACCAAAAATATGAATATAAATAGTTATTTTAGAAAAAAAGGGAAGAGTAAAATTATGACAAAGATTCCTATTCAAAGCTTTTGGTTTTCAATTTTATCACTCTGAATTTTGAGCCCCATTAAGAAAAGCACTTTTAGAATATAATTAGTTTTGGTACAGCATTAAACATTTTAGATTATTAGACTCTTAATTTGTCAGCATACTAATTATATTTTATAATACTAACTGCCTCTAATGACATTTCTGGAAAAAAAAAATCCCCAGAATCCAGGTCACAAACTTCACAGCTAAGTAAAATGATTGTTTACATAGTCTTTCTATTAGTAATTAAATCTGTTCTAATACTGTATTTACATTCTGCAAAAATAAGTTTTAAACATTTATAACTTAAAAATAATAACCTTAAATATTTTTCTCCCCTTATGTAAGAGAAAAATCAGAGAATACTGATAAACAATTAAAAAAAAAAACATATAACCAGAAATGACTATTACAAAGAGAGGCATATTTTATGATGCAAGGAATTTAACATTTAATACCAAAAATGCTGACCTGGGATTAACTGAGTTTTAATCATGGTTCTTCAACCTTTAATTTGTTCCCTAACTTTAATGTCTTTTGAACTTTAGTTTACAAAAATAAATGTTTTAGACTGGGTAATATCTAAAATCCCTTCCAGCTCCACATGACTCCAAAATGACTGATATACAGGTTACTGTCTCTGATTATGTGGTAAGAAAAGCACTGGACCAGAAATTAGAAGACTTTTCCTTTTAATCATTTCTCTGCCATTTTCAAGTTTTTGGCCCTTAAGCAAGTCATTTAACCTTTCTGAACCTGTCTTAATCCACAAAATTGCTAAGTTGCTTTAAGGTTAAAATAGAATATGTGTAGGGCCGGGCACGGTGGCTCACGCCTTGTAATCCCAGCACTTTGGGAGGCCGAGGCGGGTGGATCACGAGGTCAAGAGATCGAGACCATCCTGGTCAACATGGTGAAACCCCGTCTCTACTAAAAATACAAAAATTGGGCCAGGCGCGGTGGCTCAAGCCTGTAATCCCAGCACTTTGGGAGGCCGAGGCGGGTGGATCACGAGGTCAAGAGATCGAGACCATCCCGGTCAACATAGTGAAACCCCGTCTCTACTAAAAATACAAAAAATTAGCTGGGCATGGTGGCGCGTGCCTGTCATCCCAGCTACTCAGGAGGCTGAGGCAGGAGAATTGCCTGAACCCAGGAGGCGGAGGTTGCGGTGAGCCGAGATCGCGCCATTTGCACTCCAGCCTGGGTAACAAGAGCGAAACTCTGTCTCAAAAAAACAAACAAACAAACAAAAAAAATACAAAAATTAGCTGGGCATGGTGACGCCTGCCTGTAATCCCAGCTACTCGGGAGGCTGAGGCAGGAGAATTGCTTGAACCCAGGAGACGGAGGTTGCAGTGAGCCGAGATCGCACCCGCCATTGCACTCCAGCCTGGGTAACACGAGTGAAACTCCATCTCAGGAAAAAAAAAAAAAAAAGAAAAAAGAAAAAAAATAGAATATGTGTTTAAGTCTGTGAACATAATAAAACAGTATATAATCATGCACTGCATAATGACATTTTTAGCAATGATGGACCATTGGTAGTTCCATAAGATACAATGGTAGTTCTGTAAGAATATAATGCCATATTCTTACTATACCTTCTATTTTTTTCTTTAAAAAAATCTTTTAAAAAATTTCAACAGCTTTAGGGATACTGGTAGTTTTGGTTACATAGATAAACTATATAGTGGTGAAGTCTGGGATTTTAGTGCATCCATCACCCGAGTAGTGTACATTGTACCCCAGTAGGTAGTTTTTCATCCCTTACCCCCTTCTCACCCTCTCCCCTTCTGAGTCTCCAATGTTCATTGTACCACTCTGCCTTTGTGTACCCATAGCTTAGCTCCCACTTATAAGTGAGAACATGTGATATCTGGTTCTCCATTCCTGAGTTACTTCAGTTAGAATAATGGCCTCCAGTTTTACCCAAGTTGCTGCAAAAGACATTACTTTTCTCTTTTTTATGGCTGAATAGTATTCTGTGGTATATATATAATACATTTTCTTTATCCACTCATAGGCTGATGGGCACTTTACAAGTGGGTATGGAATAGGTTGATTCCATATCTTTATAGTTGTGAAGTGTGCTGCAATAATACATGTGCAGGTATCTTTTTGGTATGATTTATTTTCCTTTATGTAGATACTCAGTTGTGGGACTACTGGTGAGAATGTAAATTAGTGGGACTGCTGGTGAGAATGTAAATTAGTACAACTGCTATGGAAAATAGTATGTAGAGTTCTCAAATAACTAAAAGGAATATGTTAATTGGTATAACCCGATGCATTTACTGGTTTAATAATAACTGATTAGAAAATAATTGCTATGATGTATCTTCTAATAAAGATACAAGTATATGATTTTAATCTTTATGCCACTTTTATCTGGTTCATCTTTCCAATTACTGGAAAATAGAATATATTGACATACAGACCTTCCATGTAATACCAGTACTTAGTAAACTATGAGGATGATTAGGTTCTAGAATTGGAAGAAACTGGTTAGTAGCTTTACAATTTTCCCATGAGGAGAAAGCAATAAAAGTTTAAATATTCAGACAATGCATGAAAATATATAACCATTTTATAGAATTAAGATGCTATGTATTTAACTCACAGTTTATAGGTATATATTACACAAGCCACATACAAACATATAACAGACAAGATTTATTTAATTCCAGAAAGTACTATCAAGAAAGAACTACTTAGAAGACTGTACCATTGCTCTTCTCTAAGGCTTGCATTGTGTCAGGGTCCAAGGCAATGCTAACAAGCAATTCCATGTAGCTCTTAAAGGTTTCCTTCATTGCTCTTGTGTTCAAAAAGCGAGTGACAAAGGGAGCTGGAGGATCAAATTCTGGGAGGGAGAAAGGGTTCAATATTAAATTTTCCTTCCCGACAATTTTAAAAACACTTTTCCCTATAATGAGATCCTAGAAGCAGATTGCAGATACAATTTCTTCAAATTCAAGGCTTTCTCACCTTACCTTTAAAAGGTCAGAGATTCTCAAAGCTGGTTTGCACATCGCAATCACTGCAGAGCTTTGTTAACCATAGAACAAAAAACCAGGTTGCTGGACTTCCTAAAACAGAATCTTTGGTAGTAGTAGTGGTGATGAAGCTTAAGTATTATACTCTTAAAAGGCTTCCTAGGTGATGTGTGTGCATGTGTGTTCTTTGAGAGTTTTGCTCTTGTAGTCTAGGCTGGAGTGAAATGGTGCAATCTTTGCTCACTGCTACCTCCATCTCCCAGGTTCAAGTCATTCTCCTGCCTCAGTCTCCCAAGTAGCTGGGATTACAGGCACACACTGCTATGGCCAGCTTTTTTTTTTTTTTTCTCGTAGTTTTATTAGAGGTGGGATTTTACCATGTTGGCCAGGCTGGTCTCAAACTCCAGACCTCAGGTGATCTGCCAGCCTCAGTCTCCCAAAATGCTAGGATTACAGGCGTGAGCCACTGTGCTTGGCCCTTCCTAGGTGATTCTGAAGCCCAACACCAGAAAAAGTAGACTGGGTAAGAAACTATTTGTTTTCTGCAAGATCCCATCACAGACATCTGCTGCCAGGTGGTGCTACTCTAGTCTTGATGGTTTCTCTATGTTGAATAGTAAAGAAATCATATGACATCCAATGTATGAGTAATACATAGATTTCCTTTGTATTCCTACACATAAATTACTATAAAATTCTTGCCTGTGACATATTAAAAATTTTTAAAGTATGCCAGATGCAGTGGCACGTGCCTGTAATCCCAACACTTTGGGAGGCCAAGGTGGGAGGACTGCTTGAGCCCAGGAGTTCGAGACCAGCTTGGGCAACATAATGGGACACTGTTTTAACTAAAAAATAAAATAAATTAGCCACATGTGGTGGCATGTACCAGTATTCCTAGCTACTTGAGAGGCTGAGGCGTGAGGACTGCTTGAGCCCAGGAGGTTGAGACTGCAGTGAGCTGTGATAGCGCCACTGCACTCAAGCCTGGGAAACAGAGTAAAGACCCTACCTCATAAAGAAAAGAAAAAAATTGTCTTTATGTAAACACAGCCTGTGCACAGAGGAAATTTCATTCTAATCCAATGGGAAGAACTATGAGATTAACTTGTTGGGTACAGTGGTGCACGCCCGTAGTCCCAGCTACTTGGCAGGCTGAGGTGGAAGACTGAGCCTAGGAGTTCAAGACCAGCCTGGTCAATACAGCAAGACTCATGTCAAAAAAAAAGGTTGTTTCAATTTCAATTTTGACTTTTTGTATTCAAATATATAATCAAGTCACACCCTTAAATAGCAGTTTTTAAAGTATTTTTAATGTTGGGGGTATACAGTGGTGGGGGGAGAGGGAGAGAGAGATTGATTGTGTGTGTTTATATATATATACAGACACACACACACACACACACACACACACATATTTATATATGTATTTTTTTCCCTTTTCTTAGAGATGGGTTTTCACTATGTTGCCCAAGCTGTTCTTTAACTCTAAGCCTCAAGTGATCCTCCTGTCTCTGCCTCTGAAACTGCTGAGATCAGCTGTAAGCCACCATGCCTGGCCTATAGTAGGTGTATGAATTTTAAACAGCAGTTCTTAAAGTATGGTCCATGGACCCCAGGGGGGACCCCGAGACCCTCTCAGTGGTCTCTGATATCAAAACTGTTTTCATAATAATATTAAGATATTATGTACTTTCCTCACTGCATTGCCATTTATAAAACTAATACTGGGTAAAACTGATGGTGCCTTACCACGAATAGAGGCAGTGACAACAAACTGTACTAGCAGTAATATCATCTGCATGACTTTGTCATGTCACTGCCATGTATTTGAAGGGAGAAAAAGGCAGTTTCACTTAGGAATAGTCCTAGGGGCTGGGAATGGTGGCTTATGCCTATAATATCAGCACTTTGGGAGGCCAAGGTGGGAGGATCGCTTGAGGCCAGAAATTCAAGACCAGCCTAGGCAATATGGCAAGATCTCATCTCTACAAAAATTTTTAAAAAATCAGCTAGGTGTGAGGGCATGTGTCTGCAGTCTTAGCTACTTGGGAGCCTGAGGTGGGAGCATTGTTTGGGCCCAGGAGTTTGAGGCTACAGTGAGCTAAAAAGGTGCCATTCTGCTCCTGCTGGTGATAGAAAAAGACCCCATCTCTTAATTAAAAACAACCCCAACAACCAGATAGTTTGAGGGCCAGGTGCGGTGACTCATGCAGGACAATGGCTTGTGGCCAGGATTTTAAGACTAACCTGGGCAACATAGTGAGACCCAGTCTCTACAAAAAATTTTAAAATTAGCTGGGCATGGTGGTGTATACCTGTAGTCCTAGCTACTTGGGGGACTGAGGTGAGAAGATTGCTTTGCCAGAAGTTTGAGGTTGTCGTGATTGAGCCACTGCACTCCAGCCTGGGTGACAGAGTGAGGCCTGTTTCTAAAAATAAAAAATTTAAAAAGAGCTTGGCAACATGACAAAACCTCACCTCTACTAAAAAATATAAATATACTTAGCCAGGTATGGTGGCACACATGCACCTGTAGTCTCAGCTACCCAGGACACTGAGGTGGAAGGATCAGCTGAGCTTGGGAGACTGAGGTTACGGTGAGCCATGATTGTACCACTTCACTCCAGTCTGGGTGACAGAGTAAGACCTTGTGTCAAAAAAAGATAAAATAATAGCCCTCGCTGAAGCAATAAAAATGATTAATTTTATGAAATTTCTAGAACAGACATCTTTTTAATATTCTGTGTGATGAAATAGCAGGTACAGATAAAGCACTTCTGTATAAGTATAATGGGAATGACCAGGAGGAACACCCATACAGTTGTTTGAATTACAAGTTGAACTAGTTACTCTTTCTTCCAAGAAACACCATTTTTATTTGAAAGAATGACTTGACATATAGACTATGCATATCCAGACTTGGGTATTTGGCAGACATTTTCTTAAAAATAAATTAAGAGAATCTGTTTATTCAAGGAAAACAATTGACGGTATTTGTTGCCAATGATAAAATTTGAGATTTCAAGTGAAAATTAGAATTCTGGACATCTTCTATCCCCTCTGTGAGTTTAACAGCTTCCCAATTTTTAAAGACTTCATTAATGACATCATTCATAGAACTGATGAGTATTATTTTTTGATAGTGTAAAATGAAATACCTTAACATAAGAACTAGAACCATAAAACTCTTAGAAAAAAATATATGAGTAAATCTTTATGTCCTTGGATTTGGCAGTGGATTCTATGTGAACAAAAGCTGAGCAACAAAAGAAAGAAAATAGGTAAATTAGGCTTCATCAGAATTTAAAGCTTTTGTGCATCAAAGGACATTATCAAGAAAGTGAAAAAGATAACCTACAAAATGGGAAGAAACATTTTCAAATTATATATCTAATTAAGGGTTTAATATCCAGAATATATTTTTTAAAACTCTACAACTTAACAACAAAAAGACAAATAACCCAGTTAAAAAATGGGCAATGGATCTGAATAGACATTTCTCCAAAGAAGATACAGAAATGGCCAATAAGGGCATGGGAAAAATGTTCAACTGAAATTCAAACTGAAACCACAATGAGATACCACTTCACACTTGCTAGGATGACTTTTAAAAAACACACATTACAGAAAATAACAAGTGTTAGCAATGATGTGGAAAAATTGGAAACATCATGCTTTCCTGGTGGGAATATGAAATGGTGTAACCATGTAGAAACAGTTTGTTGGTTCCTCTAAAGGCTAAACATTGGATTAGTATGTGACAATAGTAATAATTCTGCTTCAGGTATATGCCTCCAAAATTGAAAGTAGGAACTTAGATACTTGCATGCCAATGTTGATTACAGCAATTGTTCAGTTAGCCAAAAGGAGAAAATAACCCAAATGTCCATCAATAAAATGTATAAACACACAACAGAATATTATTTAGCTATAAAAAGGAATGAAGTTCTAGTATCTCCTTTAACATGGATGAACCTTGAAAACATTTTGCTAAGTGAAAGAAGCCAGACACAAAAGGAAAAATATTGTGTAATTCCACTTATATGAGATATTTAGAATGGGCAAAATCACAGACACAAAAAGTAGATCAGAGGTTCCCAATAGATGGAGGAAAGAGTAGCAGTAGTTGTTGCTTAATGGTTACAGTTTCTGTTTGAGACGATAAAAGTTTTTGAAATAGAGGTGAGGGTTGTAAAACCCTACAACCCTCACCTCTGTGTATTTCATTTTACAACCCTCATCTCTGTGTATTTAATTAATGCTAATAAATTGTATACTTAAAAATGGTTAAAAGGCAAATTTATATTTAACCACAGGGTTTCAAAGTGTGAAAAAAATAAATTATTGAAAGATCTGTACCACTGAGCTAACTAATATTTTCACATGACTAGTGAACAATGTTATATAAACACTCATGGATGAGAGATATATAAAAGTTAAGACAAACCAATAGATTTTAATGTAATAGCATGAAAACTCAAGAAACTACTAATTGTCAGTATCAGGAGTGTTCATAAGTATCTGAGAAGGCAATTGAAATCTTCCTCCCTTTCCTAATTACATACAATTGCCTTCTTAGTTAAGTATGAACATTCTTGATACTTTAGCCAAATTAACATATAATAACAGGCCGGGCGCGGTGGCTCAAGCCTGTAATCCCAGCACTTTGGGAGGCCGAGGCGGGTGGATCACGAGGTCGAGAGATCGAGACCATCCTGGTCAACATGGTGAAACCCCGTCTCTACTAAAAATACAAAAAATTAGCTGGGCATGGTGGCGCGTGCCTGTAATCCCAGCTACTCAGGAGGCTGAGGCAGGAGAATTGCCTGAACCCAGGAGGCGGAGGTTGCGGTGAGCGGAGATC